GATAGATAGATAGATAGATAGATAGATAGATAGATAGATAGATAGATGGATGTACTTTATTGATCCAAAGAATTATGGAGTATAAAAACTATGTGAAATATGGAAATTACTTTACACTTTAAATGAAATCAAACTATCCGAATCCATTACATGCATACATTTACAATCATACGATATAGACCCTCACAACATTAGATAATGAAATAATAAGTTGAATAAGTTGTTTTGGATGAAAGCGTCTGCCAAATGCATAAAGATAAACATAATAAGTTTATTATATATATATTATCAAACTTATGAGCTGTTCCAGAGATCTGGAAAAAAGCAGAAACCAGAAACCAGCCTCTCAGTGGGCTGAAAGAACCACCTGAGACTTTTTTTGGGGGGATTTTTCAACACAAAAAACTGAACCATTTGTTGATTATATGACATTTACCACCAATTTGAACCAAAACAGCTACAACAACAGATGCCTGCTGCTGACACGACCGGAGGACTAAAGGAACGCCGTCGAAAGTGGGACGGAAAACAGCTGGCTCACGTTCAGGCTGCCGTCTGGGTTGGTGCCTTTGTAGCTGAAGGTGCTGGTGCCCCCGAAGTAGTGGTTGGCGGAGGCGAGCGACGCCGTCTGGAGGAGGAGCAGCAGCCGGGACGCCATCCTGCATCCAGTTCTGAGCCCGCGGACGCCGCCTGGCCGCCGGCCGCCGCCTCTTATAGGCCGCCGCTGGCAGCCCCGCCCGGGCCGATGGCCAAACAAACAGGAGGCAGAGGTCAAAGGTCGGTTTTTATGGCCTGAGGCAAAAACATTGCGGTGTACAAAAGAGGTCGAAACATGGACTAATGTGTACGTCCATCCAGATGTTGCTTCAGCATCAGTTTCTGTGTGAAGCCACAAAAAAGACACAACTATGAGAAGCATGTGGACCTCTGAGCTCCTTCCTCCTCCATCATGAAGGCTCTAAGGAGCCGAAAGGAGCAGCTCCTTTATGAAAGGAGACCCCAGGAGCAGCTCCTCAGCTTCTTGCAGGACATCCACATGCGTCTTCCTGGTTTCATCCAGTTTCTGACCCACTGTGGGAGCTCTGGGAGGTTTTGATGCTGTTAGATAACTGACAGGAACACATTTAGAATCTTAAGTGAATTCTGACTCTATTTTTGCTATATTTGGGTAATTTTCGCTCTATTTTGGTCGTATTTTAGGTCATTTGTAGCTGTGGCTGTTTTGTTTAATTTTCTTTGGGAATCCTCAGAACTCCTCTTTCCTGTGTGTCAGACTGTGTTTTCTTTGGCCTTTTTCCTCCATCAGCTCCAGAAACAGAACAGATGATGTGTCTCTGTGACAGGCTGTTGCTGACAAAGAGCCTAAAGATCCACTTTAAGCTGCTGCTCTGCTGGTTGGACACAACGCTGGCTCAGCCCTTGAGTTAGGGGCCCTTCTTTCTGACACAAGTGGCTTAAAAAGAATAAAACTGGATTAGAAATGAGTGAAAAAGTACAAAATGTCCAAACAAAACCTCAGAAATCCTTGATCACTGTCGCTAAAGAACGGTTTAAAGGACGTCTGGCTGTTTGAGGGAAAACATGAAGAAATTAAATGTGGATGAAGACTTTTTAAACTAATCTTTATTCTTCTAATCTTGTTTCCTTTCATTGAGAGCCTCCTCTCCAGTTTAAACTGCTGGCTCATGCCTTGAGTTAGGGGCCTTTTTTCTCCCTGAATGACTCAGCGTTCAGCTGCTGAACAAAGAATGCTCAGCGACAAGGTCTGAAAACGGGAGAGGAGGCAGACAAACTGCAGAAAGCTGCTTATCAGAGAAACTTTAAGGGTTAAAATCGAAGGCCGGTCGGGACTTTCGTTCTGCACATCAGACAAAAGGCCCTCAGAACAACAACACACCTTTCTTTGCACTCTCGCCTACTTTCAAACAGCAGAGCTATTTGATTCCCTTTTCTTTGTTTCCCCTGAACTCTCACACACGACTTCCAACAATGAGCGTTCCGGGAACTTGGACCTAATCTGAAGCTATAAAAGCAACAAAAGCTTTGAACGTTTCTATTTGCACGCCAGCTCAAAGTTCTGAAATCAAACAGGGCAAAGAAAAAAGGGCAGTTTGCATCAGCACAGGTCAACGAGTCAATCAAAGGAGAAGAGAAAGAAAGGAGCCATTGTGACTCCAGCGCCGACCCATTGGTCAGATCAATGCGAAACTCTCTTTGATCTGCCGATCAAACAAACAGCTCCATCGGCAGAAAAAGAAAGCTGTCGCTTATCTCGGCCTGACCCTTTATGGCTCCATCCGTCCATCAGAATCACACTCTGTCAGGAAATCTCTCCGCTTCGAAGAAAAACCCAAGAATGAAGAAATTTGGAGGGTCTGTCAGAGAGTCAGAGGACAAAAATCAACTTCAGAACCCAAACTGTCACGAGTTTGAGTCCCTTTAGCTGTTTTTTTCCCCGCGATTCATCTTATTTTATCGTTGTGTCTGCTCTCTGATGAACTACGTTTCCTCAGTTTTCCTCCCTCCTGTTTTATCAGGATCTCCTCTCTCAGTTTTTTTGTGTCCTGCTTTACTTTTTTGCACGTTTGCTTCAGTCCATCAGTCCCCTTTGCTGCCTTTTATTGGGTCTTTTTGCTCGTTTTCAGTACATTTATTCACTGGCTGCTCAGTTTTTTGTACCTGAGCTCTGTTTGTAGTCCATTACAGAACTTTCTGACCCTCTGGGTTTGGGAGTCCCACTTCATTTTAGGTATCTGCACACTCGATTTCAATTCAATTCAATTTTATTTATATAGCGCCAAATCACAACAACAGAACTAAAACTTGGCAACAACAGAAAACCATGAACGCTCCTTTCAGAGGGATTAATATTTACTTCACAAATTAAATTTTCTTTGTCTCTGGACTCTAAAAACACCTCTCAGTAATATTTCAGGCGTCCTTACGTCTGAAGATGTAGATAATCTGCAGATGTGTCAACCCCCTCATTCATAATTCATGTTTTTTTTCCATTGAATAGTGAATCTGAATTGCATAATGACAGAAATGAGGGCAGCAAACTGACCTATTTCTGCGTTTTACACTCAAACATGATTAAGTCTTTTCTTATCAGTTCACTCTGGACTTTTCAGGAGATTAATTATTCCAGTTTATTGTGCAATCCAAAAGCTTTTGCATTTAGTGAATCGTTCATAGACTCAAGCAAACAAGTTTTTAAAATGCTCATTTACACAATCAAAGTGGAAACGAGTCCATTCATTAACAGCTTAATCGGCTCTTTAAAAATAAAATTCACATTTTTGACAATTTAGGTTCAGGATTTAAAGAAAAAATTAACAAAAGTTCAACCTGAAAAGGTGAGTGAGAAACGTACCTTTTAGTCCGAGAACAGGAGCCAAAAAACAGGAAGAATCCTGTCTTCTGTGTGAATGAGGAGACATTTTTTATTAGGAGCACCAGCAGCTGTTTCTTACATAGAAACCAAGAAGGTTAATGTTGGCACATTAGTTAGATATTAAGGTATTTTGGGGGAAAAACGGTCTCATTACCTGGAAGAACAGGGGGACTTCCCACTCATTTCAATATTGATCAAAGTAATGAGAAGTGATGAATTTTCACCCTGTTTGTTTGACCTGCCAGTTTCTGATCCTCATGATGGAAATCTGAGCTTTGCAGGAGTGAAAATTAGGTCATTTGACATCTTTCTGATGATTAATAGTCAAACAAAAACTTTATCAAACAACTACAATGAGACAAACCTTCTTTTAATTCAGTTTTATGCTAAAATATGGAGATTGAACATTTAATAGTGTTGCCACATAATCCGTCTTTATCTGACCACTGTTTGCTAACTTTTGAGCTTTTACTGCTGAATTACCCTCCACTGGGTAAAAATGTCTACTCAAGATGCCTGTCTGATAGTGCTATAGCTAAATTTAAGGATGTGATTCCATCAGCTCTACATCCATTATCAAGTCGTACAGAAACAGAGGACTCTTATGTTAATTTCAGTCCTTCCCAAGTTGATCATCTTGTTGATAGTGTTGAAGGCTCGCTGCGAACAGCACTTAACGCTGTAGCCCCCCTAAAGAAGAAAATTCTTAAACAAAGACGGTTAGCTCCATGGTATACTAGTGAAACCCGCAAATTAAAGCAGATATCTCGGAAACTTGAGAAGAACTGGCGTTCAACCAAGCTGGAAAAGTCTCGTTTATCTTGGCAAGATAGTCTTAAAGCTTATAGGAAGGCCCTCCGTGATGCCAAAGCAGCATATTACTCGTCTTTAATTGAGGAAAATAGGAACAATCCCAGGTTTCTTTTCAGCACTGTTGCCAGGCTGACTGAGAGCCACAGCTCTATTGAATCAAGTATTCCAATAGCTCTCACTAGCCATGACTTCATGAGCTTCTTTAACGATAAAATTCTAGCTATCAGGAACAAAATCCACCAAGACTTGCCCTCAACTAGCATCGACTTATCTTTAAACTCAGTAACTGTAGGACCAGAACCAGTTATATGTTTTGACTGTTTTGCTTCCCTCAATCTTTGTCAACTAACTTCAATCATTTCTTCATCCAAACCTTCAACTTGCCTCTTGGACCCCATCCCGACTAGGCTGCTTAAAGAAGTCCTACCCTTAGTCGGTACTTCTCTGCTAGACGTGATCAATCTGTCCTTATTAACAGGCTATGTGCCACAGTACTTTAAAGTTGCTGTAATTAAGCCTCTTTTGAAAAAGCCTAACCTGGACCCAGATTTTTTAGCCAACTATAGACCTATATCCAACCTTCCATTAATCTCCAAGGTCCTGGAGAAAGCAGTAGCCAAACAGCTGTGTGACTATCTACATAGCAATAGCTTGTTTGAGGATTTTCAGTCAGGATTTAGAGCTCACCATAGCACAGAGACCGCACTGGTAAAAATTACTAATGACCTCCTAATGGCATCAGACAAAGGACTCGTCTCTGTCTTGGTTTTAT